CTACCTGGTGAAGGCAGAATCTGGGTTGCAGGCATCCAGACAGGGAAGTGAGGAAGAAGAGGCAGCAAGGGTTAGGTTATTCTTTCTAGAACTTGACTGGGAAGGGGTGAGGGAGGGGATGAGGAGAGAGTGCATTCATAGAAACAGTGCACACAGAACATGCATTTGCCTAGCAAGAGCACAAGAGAGTTGATGATGGTTGCTTAAGGGGAAGGCAAGGTCAAGAGGGAAAGTTCTTTTGAATGTCAGAAATTTGATCATGTTTATAGCCTGAGGAATGGGAGCTGATGGTGAAAGAGATTAAATGCCTGTCAGAGTAGATGATTAATGGTCCTACCCTTGCGAAGCACAGACTGGGTGGGAACTTCCTCACAGTCAGGACAGAGGTGAGGGGGAGCCGAGGACCATGTGAGTAGTCGTCCTTCGTCCTTCAGACTTACTGGCTGGAGGGAGAAGCCGGACCAGAACTCAGAGACCACAGCCAAACACTAACGATTGACCGGGGAGGTAACTTGAAAGCCTGAACATCAAGCTATGTGGGTATGGCATGAAGTCTAGAGACTGAGAGATAGTCAGCAATGGGAAGGAGGGTCAGATGGGGTAATTCCAGAGCACACTCTGGAATCTTTGTGTCCTTGAACATATGCTTTCTATGTGCAACCTGGAAACTTACTAGGCTTGAGAGTGGTTCTTAAAGGTGAAAGAACCCAACATGAGACATGGACTTGCTTGCTCTAAGACATGGATTTAAGAGACATGAATGAGAGATGATTCCAGGAGATTTTGAAAAAAGGGATGTAAGCTCAACAAATGAACAGATTATTTTAGAATACCTTTCTGGGGGTGGCTGGGTGGCTCAGTCAGTTAAGCGTCTGACTTCGGCTCAGGTCATGATCTCATGGTTCACAGGTTTGAGCCCTGCATTGGGCTCTCCACTGTCAGCACAAAGTCTGCTTTGGATCCTGTCTCCCTCTCTCTCTCTGCTTCTCCCCTGCTTGCATGTACATTCTCTCTCTCTCTCTCCCTCTCCCTCTCCCTCCCTCCCTCCCTCCCTCCCTCTCAAAAATAAATATTTAAAATACCTTTTCAGTATACAGGAGAGGTTATTTGAGGAGAAGAGGAAGAAAGGGTAAGGTTTATGGCTGGAGGAGAATGGGAAAGATTTGGAACAATCTCTGAAAGGAATCAACCAGAGATGAACGCAAGGGTGCCAGGCGGTATTGGAAGATCAGCTCTAATTAGATAGTGTAAATTTGTATGGAAACCAATTGGCATCATCAAGTGTCTTTCACTAGCAATTTTCAGGCCACAGGGAGTAGAAACATAGACAAAAGACTTTGAGGTTTGGCATGGACTGGGCTCTGGTAAAGCAAATGCACTTTAGGTCTAAGGGTAGGGATGAACTGGAATGAGGAATTTTCTGGTGCAGATATGATACACTTGAAATGACCTCAGGTATAGAATGGATAAGGAGGCAAATACTACTTAAGGGAAGTTTATTAACTAGGAAAACAGGTAAGTATTGGCCACAGTAGAAGAAATGAAAGATTGTTTGAGTCTGTAAGTGGGAAACTTGAAAGGTTAGAGGACTGTGGCCAAAGGAGACTGTATCAGAGCTGAAGATTTTAGAAGCAGAGCAAATGCATTCTGGATAAAGATGACGGCTAAGATGACCGCCATCCTGCTGAGAAACTGAGGCAAGGTGGAAGCAAACCTGTTGGTGTTGTGCTCAAGAAAGGTGAAACCAGAGTGGATATTGGAAGACTAACAAGGAGGGAACAAGGATGTTGAAGTTACTGAGGAGAAGGAATGTGCCCAAACTAGGTAGAGAAACCATTGATCAAAAGAAAAAAGCCCTGAAGAAAATGAGAGACTGTCTTGGGTTCTGGATAAGTTGTCTTGGGTTCTGGAATGTGCTGTAACTGAATGGCACCACTTTAGAAGAGGAGGGCAGATGTAGATGATCAATAAGGACAGTAGTGGTCTGGAAGCATGTCCAGTATAGTTGGATTGTCGAAACAGGATGGACTCCACTTGAGATGACTGGGAAGGGTATGTGATAGGCTGCAGAAGTCAGGATTCAGTTTATGCTGGAAGGAGAAGGAACAGTTGAAAAGGTAGGGTAAACCTTCTTTAGACACGTCTGATAGAGAATATAACACGTAATAGTGGCTGGGGACCATGTGTACCTGGAGATGGAAAGTGGAGCTGGACTGGGTGAGCTTGTTGAAGGCTGATTTTGAATTCAGGGAGTAGGACAGTACTTACCAATGACAAGGATGAGGGGTAAGGACAATGAAAGGTAGAGGCATATGCTAATAGATATAATAGCTGGAATATAATCACTAACAACTGGAACTCCCACTTGGGATGTTAGTGTAACCAATTGGAACCCTGCCGTGACCAACTGGAACGGCTATTGGAACTTTAGTACAACCAATTAGAATATTATCCTTGTCAGTGGGAACATTGGTGTGACCAATAACAACCTGGCAACCTGAAATAGCTAGAGGGATTTTGGCATTAACAGAAGTGGAATAGATTCCTACTGTTCAGGAGAGATACATTCTGAGGCTTTTTTTGATCCCACCAAGGCGGCAGTATCGTGAATGTTGCTTAGCGGGCAAACTGCATGTAAGATATTCAAGCACTCAGTGGGCTGCGTTTTTAATAATCATATCCCTAGGCCTTGACTTCTGGTAGATACTTAAAAACATGTTGAGTAAATGATTGAAGTCTGGAATGGAATGGAACAACATTTTCTCAATTGTCTGTACTCTAAAGCAATCGTTGCTATCTGATTTAGAGAATTACTTCTCTACCCCTTTGCAATGGTGGCTTGGAGAGCTCACATACACAGTATAGTCCATCTCTAGCAACCCACAGAACTTTAGGAGTTTTACACCAGCGGTGGCTCTGGCCTCAACTTCTTTTCCTGCCTGCTTTAACTTTTATGATTTTACATTTTAACTTAAATTGTCCATTATTCAAACCGCCTCAAGTCATTTGTGGAACAAAACAGGTAGATGAAAGGATGGAGAGAGAAACGTAGAATGAGGTGGTGGAACAGAGGGGAAGGTGAGGAAGGAAGAGAGAGGAGGTGGGAGTGAGTAGGTGGTATCAGAGAGGATTAGATCTTCAGAGAGCCTTCGCGCCAGGCCCTGGTAGAGAGTGTGCGCTCAACAAAATCTTAACAGTTTGAGTGGCTATTTCCTCACTCCGTGACTCCGTGAATATTTGTTGATTGGCTTTTTTTTCAGCAGGTATTTTTTTTCTTTTATTTTCCTTAAAATTCTTGGACTTCTTCCTTTGTTTGGGAAACCATGTGATACGTTAGAAAAGAGTTTTGGAATCAAACAGACTTTGGTTTGCAAACTAACTAACGCACTCTGCTGTTGTTGACTGGCATATGTCTTTGGTCAAGACAAGGCCAGTCTCTGGGCCAGGTTAGTATTTACTGTCTATTACTCAGGTCAGGATAGTATTTACTGTCAAATCACCAGGAGGGTTTATTGAAAGCATGTATGTAAAGTACCCTGTGGGGTCTGGCACAGAGGAGGCACTCGTGGAATCTGTGTGTCTTCTCTCCTTCCCCACCTCCACCATTATACACATTGATCTGGGTGACTACTCATGACCAAGTACGCTGTGGTTCTCACATGGCAGGGTCACTGCCTCTGTGCTATAAGCTAGTTCAAGTCTAGCTGAAACAGGAAGAGCCGGCCTCCTTTGCCCAGTGCTCAGTGAGTTCATTTTGCTGAACTTCTAGGTACCCGTCCCTTCAGATTAGCAGATGAAGAGTTTGTAGACTGGCTTTCTGACACATTGAGGGGCTTGGCCTAGGGAATCATGTTTTCCTAGTTAAGATCTGTGTCCTGTGTGGTTTGGTTTGTAGTCTGAGGACGGTTCAGAATATATGAAATCATAGCTATTGGTCAGAATGTTGATCACCATTCTTGTATGAGGGTTAGGTTGCCCAACTTAATATAGAAAGTTCATACTGAGATGGAATAGTGTATCTTTTCTGTCTGCTGATTTGGCTGGTCACTCTCCTGATGGCCATACTGTAGTCTCATTGCTGGAAACCATGTCTCCCGTGTGCCAAGACTCTGGAGCTCATGGACCATGGCCTTTGGCCAATGGAGAAGTGTTGCCCCTGGACCAGAAATGTTCCTGGTTTTTGAGGTCCTTCATAATCCCTAGTGGTTCCCAGCAGGTATTTTGTCAATCACCTTTGTTTTTTGTCTTATTTATGCTTATTAGTTATATGTATTAATGGCAGGTTGCCGTCTACTACTGTTCTTATTATGGTAGGGCAGGACTGATAACCTTCCTGAGTCTGGTCTTACAATAAGGGAAGAACAATTTTCTTACCTCCATACTGTCGTGGCTAGAAAAGATCCATTATCACAATAGGCTAGGAAAAGTCTGTATCACATAAACAGGATTCTGTCATTTAGTAAATACTCATTGAATATCTGCTTTATGCTCTAGCTCCCTCCTAGGCTCCTTGCAGTGAGACCTTAAAATGAAATTTGTTGAAAATGTGGGCTGAACATTGAGCCCAGGAGGTGATTTGGAATCCTTGGTTTTAAAAAAGATATATTGTTAACGTAAGCTTGGGTTTGTCTGTGTTTTTTTGTTTGTTTTGGTTGAAAGGACCTGCTGCTTTGCATTGGAAATAGAGATGGAGAAGTTTCGTTCTTTGAGCAAAACTGTCCCTTTTTCTGTACTTGGAAATAATGGCTTCTAATGGCAAACTTGTTTTTTGAGAGCTATAGTTCACATTGTTTCTCAGAGCACAGTGGGTGGTGCCAGGGGCTGTGCTCTCCCTGAGTGACCCAGTATCAGCTGAGACCTGTCCCTAACAGCCCTGTAGCTCATATGCAGCAGTCTCAGCTCTGCTGTCCACCAGAGTTTGCCTTGTATGCTCTGGATGGAGCTACAGCTGTCCTTGTTGCCAGGGAGGCTCTGATTTTGACATCTGGTTTTGCTTGCAGGAGCTGCTAAGTCGCACATCTCTTGAGACCCAGAAGCTTGATCTGATGACTGAAGTTTCTGAGCTGAAACTCAAGCTGGTTGGCATGGAGAAGGAGCAGAGAGAGCAGGAGGAGAAGCAGAGAAAAGCAGAGGTGAGTGTGATAGACCAAATTCTGGGGGATCCATACAGTTCTAAACTCAGAGCAGAGGAAACTATCCTAATGTGGATTCAGGCCATCTGGTCAACCCCAAGCCTGGCAGCCACTGGGCGCCAGAAGCATCTATGCACTAGAGACACAATGATCTGTTAATACCAAGTTATCAGGTTTTGCTGTGGCTGCAGATTTCAGCAATGCCCAAACCACCCAGTTTTGGCTCTAAGGCTTTATCCTCCCTCAAGCTGCTGACAAGGATAGAAAGGGAAGCATTAGAGGGGGAAGGATCAGGCAAGATGTGAAGGGACCCAAGATGTCCTCTGTGGGAGCCAAGGTAATGAGGATATATCTGGGATGAAGTCAGCTGCCCAATAGGCCACCAGCACTATATCCAAGGAGTCTGGAGACATTCTTTGATGTGCTTTTCACTGACCTAGATGGAACCTTTAGATTATGTTTCTTTTCTCCTGATAGGTCATAGGAGGAAGCCCATGTACAGGCCTTCTATTAATGTTTTCCTGCATTGTTCCTATTTTTTTACACTCTATAGAGTTTTTTACACTCTATAATGCCATTGGCCAGAACATTCCAGACTCCTTTTTAGGATAAATGTTTTGTGTAAATTTTAGGCTCAGAGTTGCTTTTGTTGAGAAAGAACATCCTGTTTTAACCTTAGATAACCACCTTCCATATGTCTCTACCTACAAGTGCCCATATTTGCACCTGGCATATAAGATGTAGAAGGAAGATAGGCTGTAGGTTTAGAAGCACATTGGTTCAATCACTAACCTAACTGCTTAATAGGTCTTTGAATTTCATTCAACAAGTTAGCTGCTTAATTTCTCGAGACTTTATTTATCTGTAAAATAGGTAACTGTGTGAAGTCCAAATAAAAATCACAAAAGTCCCTATCATAGTACCTGGCATCCTGTAGGTACTTGGTTCATATATACTCCCTCGCAACATTTAGCTCTCTCCAAAATCTAAAAGTGGATTATCATTCCTTTCTATTAATCACCCCCATTATTGTGCACTGAAACCTGCCCTATTGCTGTGTTTACACAGTGGTAAATGCTGGTGATTGAGACACTTAAAACGGGTGGGCAATTCTGTGCATTGCTTTTGAGAAGCTGCTCATTGTAAGTAGAGGTGCCAAAAGACCTCTCCATTAACCTGAAGACCCTGTCTTGTAGTGATTAAGAGGGCGGGGCCTTGAATCAGATCTTCCAGCTGTAATGCAAGCTGAGCTGCTCATTAGCTTTGTCATTGTAGGCATAACACAACCTGTTTCTCCCTCTGTAAAGTGGAGATAGTAACACTTCCTATTTCCTGAGTGGTTTGGAGGAGGGAATGAGATAATTCATGTATAGTCCTTAGCATAGTGCTGGACACATAGTAACTGCTACCTTTTATCGATTACTTACTGATTGTGTCACAAAGCATCCTGCAAATGGACATGTAGGTTAAGATACATTTATAAACTGCAAAGCTCCCGCAGAATGAAAGCTTATCTTTGTGAAGAGTTAGTTAAATAGAGTGCTTTTTAAAAAACAAACAAACAAACAAACAAACTTTTTTAGTGTTTATTTTTGAGAGATAGCATGAGCAGGGGAGGGACAGAGAGAGAGGGAGACACGGAATCCGAAGCAGGCTCCAGGCTCCGAGCTGTCAGCACAGAGCCCGATGCGGGGCTCGAACTCACAAACCACAGGACCATAACCTGAGCTCAAATCGGATGCTTAGCCAACTGAGCCACCCAGGCACCTCAAATACACTTTGCTTTTTAAATGTTCAGAAAGAAGCAACTGAATTTTCTCCAGGTTTGGAGTTGTGTTTTTACCAACGTCTCGAGGTGTGTGATGACATGGGAACATAGGTTAGGGCTCTGGGGGCAGAATTCAGTAAACTCGGAGATGCCTTGAAGTGATAGAGACAAGTCAAAACCACTTAAATTAAAAAACAAAAACAAACAAAAAAAGAAGTATAGGTGGGAGAGTATTAGGTCACACAGCTTGAAGAGTCCAGGGTTTAAAGTCCAATATCACTAGATCCACGTGACCTCCCAATGTCATTAAAAATCAGCCTTAGCGTACGTCTTGGTTCTGACTTAGCCTTATTGCCAAGAAGGGTCTCTGCACTACATCCTATCGGCCTGGAGACCTGGCAGAGAGAGCACTTTTTTCTCAAAGTTTCCAGCAAAAGCCTCGGGCTTGCATCTCCCTGGGCCAGTTTGGGTCACATGCCTGGTTCTGAGCCAGCCAGCCACTAGGGAGCACATAGGTATGTGTGCGTGAGTCTGTCTGGGAAAGAACGCGGACTTAGTACCAACCTGAGCCAGCTCTGTTCCTTTCCAGAGAAGACAGGATGGAAAGGAGAGCTCCCAATTCTGGGCCAAGTATACCGAAAGCAGTCATTTTGCTGTTGCTTTATTTTTCCTTTTCTGAGGGATTATGTTTCAATCTGAATTTTTTGTTTTTGTTTTCCATCAGGCTGTTCATGCATGAGGCAACATAGACCCTGAGCCGCTGGCTTCATTCCTACCAGATAATGGCCCTTCCCAGTTGCTAGTACAAACATTAAGTTTTTTTAGGGCTGTTCAAACCTGTGACACTCCATGCACAGCCACATGACCTGAAGTGCATTTCTCCTTCTTGTAATTGAACATAATCTTCGCTGGTATGCTTAGAGCCTCTGCCACTATTTGCAAATATGTGTAGCACCAGGGGCTTGAAACCATGGCGAGTACTGCTGTGGGGACTCCATTGTCATGTGCGTGGAGGTGTGTGAGTGCAGCACTGAGCTAAGGTCACCAGAGGTTGTACTTCCGTGAACAAGGGGAATGCTGCTTCCCAGCCTGCATTGCTGCTGGGTTTTTTCCAGTGAATATACTTAGCCCAAGGCCTATTGCTTGTGGTTTGGAAAGGCAGGATCTTTCTCTGTTTTGTTTGTTTTCTGGGGGTAGCGGGATCTGAAATTTCCTCTATGCAGCTCAGGCTTTATCCTCAAATTCCATTTTATGTTTCAGTGAAAATTTAAAAAAAAAAGAAAGAAAAAGGATACTGTGAACAAGAGCATTGCAGGCTGTTCTTTCTGTCGGACTCTGATCCCCCCGAAGCCTGTATCCTGCTGCCTGTAGAAAGTTATGGACGTGATTATACATGGTTGTCCATAAACCTAAGGACGTCAAGATGCAGGTTTCTTGTCAAATAGAGACCATCCTGACAGCCAGCCTCACTCAGGAGTCTGTCAGTGAGATGTGGGTGAATACCGGGTTTCCTGTTTACCTTTCCTCCTGAGCCTCTCGCAGTGGCTCCGGGTCATTCCAGGAGACCCAAACTTAATCAGTTAGGTTTACTCCTGAGAAGCAGGACTGCAGAGGAGTGGCTGACGCGGAAAGTAAATACGAGAATGAGGAGGATGGAATGTAAAAGATCCAGAGGCAGAGGAAAATGTCTGGGTGGCATACTATATCACAGGCACGTCCCTCAGAGGCGTCTTCCATGGAGAGGAGTCTGGTTTCCCCGAGCCCTGGGGATGGAGGGGGCCCCACAGCTGGATCTCTTTATGGGATTAAAGAGCTCTGCATGTAATAACCAGAGCATCCTGTAAAGAAGGGAGCAGGGATCCAGCATGTCCTGGAAAGTGGCGTCCGTGCAGTTGATCAGGTTTATACACAGATATGAAGAAGAGAACCAGAAAGAGTCTTCAGGATTTCTGGCAGAAAACGGAGTGTCTTACAGCACGGGTGGTGCTGACTTCCTTCTTCCTTCCTGTGGTTATAGCACTTTGGAAAGGAAGGATTCTGATTTCTGAACTGGGATAACCAGAATGATGGATATGGAGCACAGAGCGGAGACTGGGAAGATTGTGTTTGTTCAGAGAAGTTGACCGGGAGATTCTTACTGTTTTGTTGATTTTGTTTTACTTACTGATTTTTATTAGCCTAGGAAATCTCCAGCAGTTCAAAAATTAAGAGTTCATAAAAGTATATGCAGCCAAAAGTCTCCTTCCATGCTCGCCCCTCAGGCCCACAGTCAGGAACCACCCTGACCAGTTTGTGTCCTCCCAGAGTTATCCCTGGGCAAGCAAACTTATGTGGACAGATATATATGCACATATGCGCACACATTCCTTCCCTCATTTTTGTGCAAATGCACACTATTCTAGACCTTCTAATGTAGCATGCTGGGAATTTATTCACACCAAGTGCATTAAAAAGACTTATATGATAGAAATACCTATTATTTCATTATCTGACTATACCTTAATTTAGCCTGTCCTCTTTTGATGGACATGTAAGTGGTTTCCAAGTGTTTGCTACTTCCAATAATGCTGCTGTGAATGATCTTGCACACGTGGGGATACTGAAGTGGAATCAATGGGCCAAATGGTACATGCAGTTGAAATTCTGACCGATATTTCCACTTTGTCTCGTGGAACGTAGAGGTTATGTTCCCATCAGTGATGTCTAAGAGTGCCGGGCCGGTATTAAGCAGAGCATGAAGGAGGGAGAGAAAGAACTAAGTAATATCATGAACAAGTTTAACAGGTAGGAGGGAGTGGGAAAGACATGGTTATGGGAGGTGCCCCGTGGTTCACATAGAAAAGAACCGTAAAGAACTTTGATGGTTAGTGAATCGGGAGTCATAAAGCCAGCTGAGATTTCAACACAGAGTGGCATTTAGAGCCTCATAAATGTCACCTGGACTTCGTGATAGGGGACCCAAGAATGAGACACAGCTACAAAAGGGTCTGCCCTATGGGGGAGAAACAGATCTGTTAAGAGGGGAGGTGGGCCAGCCCTGGAGAGAACGAAGTATAAAAGAAAGTTGAAATGCCGAGCCTGAGGATGGACATACTGGAAAATAACACGTGGGTTGGGAGAATAAGAGGGGAATGTCCCTGAAACATTGGGATGCACCACATAGTCACCCCAAGCAGAGGAAGAAAATAGATGCACTCCTGTTCAGATCCCCAGACAGATGGAAGCAGACAAG